GCGCTCATTGGTCGGCTGTGTGTCCGTCTCGCGCTCCCGCCCACCCACCGTCTCCAGGCTGACAGCAACACGCATGCTCTGCTTCGGTTCCGGCCCGCCCGCAGTCCTGTGACCTCCGCACGCGACAGTTGGGTCCTAGCGGAGCGAGCGCTAGGGGCGACACAGCCCGCTGTCCCGAGTGCGCTGCTCGGGCACTGGTCTCGCTGAGGCGGTGAACTTGGGCGCCTATCCGCTCAGTTCTGTGTACCCACACACTCATACCCATTATCTCTGACACACAAGCACGACCACCACCCACCAGGCACCCCCCACAGGTGGTGGCTGCAGGCACACAGGTAGGGTACAGAACACAAAATGGGCACACGGGATGCAGACCCACACACACAATCACAAGGCTTACACAGGTTCGAGGGCATACACGGGCACACACACATGCACACACTACACACACGGAGACACGTACACTACACACAAGCACACATACAGGGACACTTGGACACACATACCTGCCCACAGGGGCACACGTACACACAGGAACACATAAACGTCAACAAACGCAGGGACACACATATACCACACACACATTGAAACACACAGGAAGACATGTACACTACTCGTAGGGCCACACAAACACTAGGACACACCCAAGCACACATACAGGACACACTGACACAGGGTCACTCAAGCATACATACACAGGGGCATACACATGCAGGGACACAAGCATCTGTCTGCCACAGACAAGGAAAAAGAAAAAGGTGGTTGCGTTCAAGACCTTAGACCCGAGAGAGGCCAACAATATGCAAGTGACCAGTTAAGACAAATGACAGCCGGCATCGAGTCCTGTGAAGAGGCACAGCAGAGGCTGGGCAGACGCAAAGGGGGCTCCAGAAGGCTGTGAGAAGGGTGGGGAGCAGTCTGGGCAGAGGCCCTGAGGCTGGAATTGCAAGAGCTGTCCATAGACCGGAAAGAAAAGAAGGAGTGGGGGAGGGAGGGGAAAAAGAGGGGCTGATACCAAGGACTCAAAGAGAAAGTAAATGTTTAGAAAGTTATGATGGCAACAGATGTACAAATATACTTGATACAATTGATGTGTAGGATGTAAGAGCTGTAAGAGGCCCCATAAAATGATTTTAAAAGAAAGGAAGAGGGAGAGGTATTCTGGAAGTAGGAGGAGCCACTGGAGAACAAGGAAGAGGTCAGTAGCACTCCATTCATGGCCTTCGAGTGTCCCTTAGATCTGGAAATCAACTTGTCTTGCCATGGGTGTGGTTGGTGACTAGCAGTGGGCCAAGAGGGGACAGGGAAGCACAGTGGGGGCCATGTGATGAACACAGGAGCAGAGTGGCAGGGAAAGGACATTACAGGGGAGGGTGTTCTTTTTCCACAGTGAAAGCCTGGAACTTGGTGCTGTCCTTCGGATGGAGCCCAGCTGGGGGGGCGGGGGGGAGAAGGGGTGTGTGTGTGTGTGTGTGTGTTCCCCTGGTGATATAGTGGGTTACACATTGGGCTGCTGGCCACAAGGTTTAGCAGTTCAAAACCACCAGCTGCTCTGCAGGAAAAAGATGAGGCTTTCCACTCCCATAAAGAGCTAGTTTCAGGAACCCACAGGGGCATTTCTACCCTGTAGGTTGCTGCCAGTCAGCATCGACTCAAGGGCAGGGAGTTGAGTTTTGAGAGATAGATGTGTGTAAATTTTGCTGGTTCTGCTTCTCGAAAAAACCCAGCCTAAGGTACCACTCAAAACCTCTGCTGATGTGCATGCCTCATTCAGTGCACCAGGCCACCCCACAGGGCTTCCCGAGCTCGGCGCTCACCTCCTAGCCCCAGGTTGCCTCCTTCCTCTCAGCACACACAGGGCTTTACACGTCACAGCTGCTCAGTTACATGTATTACATCACTCTGACTAGACTTCATGGCAGCGAGTCTAGTCCCCATGCCAGGGTGAGGTCCATGAAGAAAAAGCTCAAGGCCCAGGCCCACTGTCTGCTCCCAGGGACCCAGTACAGAGGCTGGGAGTGCATCTCAGTGGGTGGACAGGTAGATATGTGTTACAGTGAGGAGGAAAAAGAGGGAATGAAGATTTTTAAAGGGAGAGTGGACAAAAGCCGGTGACTGTTCTGGGTCCTGCCTGCGGCTTCTCAGCTCGACACCCGCTGGTGTTCAGCTGCCTGCTGCACTGGTGGGAGCTGAGAGGAGAGGAGGGCACAGCTGATGGACCCAGGCCCCAAGCTGGATGCAGCAGCTCAGTGGCACAGCCAGCCAGGCTCGGGCTACTTGGGTTCCCTCTGCTGCCCCAGCGCTAGCGATGGCAGTGCTTTGGACTCACGTGAGCTGCGCTTCTCCAGGCTTTATAACACCCACCTTAAATCCCGCTGTTCAGCGTTCCTGGGGCGGTTCTAAGCCTACGTCTTTCCTGTACTGCAGGCCCCCCTGGCAGCCCAGTGCTGTCGGGGAGTCCGGGGCGGTGCAGAGCTGCCAGGTGTTGGAGTCTTAATGAAGACAACATGCTGACATGGGAGCCAGAGCCAAGCTTTCTCCCGAGAAGAGCATCCACTCCTTTCTCCCAACTCCACCCTTCTGTCCGCAGAGGGGCGGCCAGGCGTGGATGAGTGCCACCGTACAGCAGGGGCAGGTGTTCTCAAAGTCCCCTACTGCTGTGGGAGCATTTCGGCAGAGGCGCCTAAGAAGCCCCTGCCAAAGACTCCATGAGGAGGCCTCCGCCACCCACAGGCCACCCCATTCTTTCAAGGCCTTTTGTGACAGCCACTGAGGCTGCCCCAATGTCGTAGCCCTTGAAGTGGGTGCTCACCACACAAAGGCAGGCGGTTCAGAACGAGGTCATCAAGGAACAATGCAGAAGCAGCTCTAGAACCCCTCCATTCTAGAACCTGCCCCAGCAGGCCTGGAACCACTCACCCCCACACTAGGACGCACTGTGCTAAGCTGCCTGCTCTGAGTCTTCAACCTGGTCAGTCCTGCCCTCAGCCCAGGAAGCTTTCAGAGTCTCAGCTGCTGCCTCAAAAAGGCACAGGGCACCCCCGACCTCTGCTGTGCACGGACCCCCTGGCACCTGTGAAGCCTCAGCCCCAGCCCTGCTGGCCCCTGGCCCATGGCCCCAAGGTGAACTGGACCTCCCCGAACCTACCCTCGGGCCCCTGCCTGCCATGAAGGGCAGCAGCCGCCGAAGGCTGGGCCAACGCGTCTTCACAGAGCAGGTTCGAGAGTGCCGGGACAAGGGCTACCTGCTGTCCTCCAAGAAGATCGGCTCTGGTGCCTTCTCCAAAGTCTACCTGGCCCGCGCCACGCCGGAGAGGATCCAGCATAACGCCAAGCTGTCTGCCGACCTTCAGGACAAGCACCATGCCATGGTGAGGGCCCTGCCCAGGCCACCCTTTCCCACAGGCTCAGGTACCTTCAGTGTGCTCTGTCTACTGAGCCGTGCGGCTGCCCACAGCACCCACACTCCATAAATCAGGGCCCGAGGGGAGAGGCAGAAGCTCTCCGCTCACCGATCCCAGCAATGAGCCATGGTCAGGATACAGCCACCACCCTCCTTGCAGGTGGCCATCAAGATCGTGTCCACAGCTGAGGCACCCGCGGAATTCTCCAGAAAGTTCCTCCCCCGGGAGATCTCATCCCTCAATGCCACCTACAAGCACCTGAACGTGGTAGGCAGCCTCCACAGCCCGCCCTGCCCAGGCCTTAGGGCCGAGCCTGACTGCTCCTGGGTGATTGATGGGCAGGTGGGTCCTGCAGGTGCAGCTGTACGAGACTTACCAGAACAGCCAGCGCTCCTACCTGGTGCTGGAGCTGGCTGCCCGAGGGGACCTGCTGGAGCACATCAATTCCGTGTCAGCCCGCCGCTGCTGTCCCGGGCTGGAGGAAGACGAGGCCCGCAGGCTATTCAGGCAGCTGGTCAGTGCTGTGGCCCACTGCCACAGCTCAGGCATTGTGCACCGGTGAGGGCCCGTGGCACGCACGCATGGCGCAGCCACCAAGTACTAGGCCCGGCCCCCTCCCTTTCCCCACTGTCACAGTTCAGGCAGTGTGCACTGATAAGGTACGCTCGCGTGCATGCATGCACGCACACAGAGCAAGACCACCCAGCACCAGTCCCTGCCCCTCCCCACTCAGGGACCTGAAGCACCAGGCCCGCCCCCCTCCCCTTCCCCACTCAGGGACCTGAAACACCAAGCCTGCCACCCCATCTTCCCCACGCAGGGACCTGAAGTGTGAGAACATCCTGTTGGATGAGCAAGGTCTCCTAAAGCTAACTGGTGAGTGGGGGCCCTTAACCCTGCCTGGCACCTACCTTCAATTCCCCCAGGAGGTCCAGCACCCACCCTAGCAGATGCCCTGCCTCAACACTGCCTGGCCTCACCTGTGAAGAGAATCAAACTTTTTGCCCCCAATTTGACTCTGGTCATCAACCATCCCAGGAGGCTGACACACACACACACAGCCCACCCCTCCCTCCCCCTTGCCCTAGCCACCCCTCTTGACGTCACCCACGCACCCTTGCCCCTCCCCTGCCCAAGACTTCGGCTTTGCCAACTGCTCTGGACTCAAAAACGCGCTGCTAAGCACCTTCTGTGGCTCAGTAGCCTACACGGCGCCCGAGATCCTCATGAGCAAGAAGTACGCAGGGGAGCGGGCCGACCTGTGGAGTCTGTGAGTGCCCCCCCAGGGTACCCCATCCCAGGCAGGGAGGTGGGGAAGAGCAGGCCCTGAGGAGCCCATGCCCCCAGAGGCGTCATCCTCTACGCCATGGTGACTGGGAAGCTGCCCTTCAAAGAGCGCCAGCCCCACCGCATGCTACACCTGATGCGCCGAGGGCCCACCTTCCGCCAGGGTCTGTCCTCTGGTGAGACGCCCTCTGGGTCGCCCCATTGAGCAGCACTCAGGATGGGACACGGGGTGGTGGGGGGTGGGGGTGGTATCCCCAGGCTGGGCAGGATGGAGGAGATGAGCCTCCATAGCCCTGGTACCTAACCAAGGGGAAGGGGCTAACTGCATCCCCTCCAGTGAGTTCCGACCCAAGCTCCGCCCCCAACCTTGGGTAATCCCTTGGATAGTCGGCCACCCATGGCTTGGTGTCCCCACTGCGGCTGAGGGCGGCGATGGGCCGGGTGGGAATGGCAGCGGGGCACAGCCGCCAATCTCGCTCGCAGAGTGCCAGGACCTGATCCGCGGCCTGCTTCAGCTCCGCCCAGACGCCCGCCTCGACTTGCAGCAGGTGGCCGCGCACCGCTGGATGCTGCCCTTCGCGCCTGCGCTCTTCTGCAATGTGCTGGGCACCGCGCCAGGTGTGGGTAGGGCCTCGGAGGCCTGGGGGAGGACCAGCCCTCTTCCCTGCTGCTCCTCTCCACTCCTTTACCCCCGCCCGCCCTTCTGTGTTACAGAGGAACCTAAGTTCCCGACCGCCCTGGATGAAGTTCCGCGTCTTAAGGACCCGGAGCCCTTGGGGACTCTCGTGCAGCTGCAGCGTCCCCAAAGGCCAGGCGCCCACCACGATCGCACATCGGAACCGACGCCTGCCTTCGGGGCGCCCAGGCTGCTGCAGGCCCACCTGAGATGCAGCGTGGCCTCCCCAGGAGTGGGCTTTCGGCGCCCAGGCGCGGCCAGCTGTTCCCAGCAACCCCTGTCGCTTTGTTCCATCTCTGCTGCCCCCAAAGAGGCGAGGCACTGCCAGGTCAAGTGAGGAATGGGCAAATAAAGTTTATTTTCTGAGAATTTGAGGTGTGAGAATTCACCCTGAGGAGAGGGAGCACTTGAGGGTCATGAGCTGGTGGCACCGAGTTGGGAAGGCAACAGAGGCAGGCCCTACAACCACCTGGGGCCTGGCAGCGACTGGACAACCAGAAGATGAGTGGAACCAGGCTCCAGATAGGGCCAACGGTGGCATCAGGGTGGCCGGGGAGAGGCTGGGGCAAGTGGGCAAGCCCATAGGCACCTCAGGGACTCAGCTCGTGGGGCGGGGTGGAGTCTGGAGTGGCATGAGCAGCTGAGGCTGGGGAGCCGACCAGGGAGATGGCAGGAGTCTGGATATGAGGCACTGGGAAGCTGGGCATGACCCCAGACACAGGCCCAGCGTGAAGATGGAAGCCTCAGGGGGAAACCGCAAACCAGTCATAGGGAAGCTGTTGGGGGCAGAGGCCGCGGGGTCCAGTCCTGACCCCTGGCTTCCTGAGAGGACCCAGGTGTGCTGCACCAGCAGGGCAGTCACAGAGGGGCGAGAGAGTCAGGTCTCAGGCAGTCAGAGACTGGGAAGCCCAGGGGGACTAGGGAGGAGCTGGCAGCAGGATGGGTATCACTGCAGTGCCCTGAACATGGGGGACCCCAGCTGAGCCCTCAAGGTTCTACTGCCCATCCTCCACATCCCACGTGGAGGCAGCCAATCCAGACCTCCTGCTGGTGGTGACAGGGCACAGGACTGGAAGGTGTCCTTAGTCTCCCAAAAGTTCACTGAACTCTTGCTCAGAGCTGGGTGGCTGGAGCCTTGGGCTGGGAGCCTCAACACAGCTCCCCGGCTCTTATTCAGTCATGGCCTCAGGCCAGCTCCAGAGATGCCTGGAGGGAGAGTGGAGGTGGTGGCAGCTGTGAGGGCCTCATGGGAGTGCAGGTCCCTCCTGCACCTGTTGCTCTTGCTCACACTGTTCCTGTTCATGGTGGTCCAGCTGCTGCAACCGCTGCTCCACATCCTCTGGCACCTGGACCTCTAGCAGGTTCTCCATGCCACACTCAGGCTCATCTCCAATAAGCACCTGTGTGTGAGGGCAAGAGGAGGGAGGTGAGCAGCTGGCAGGGATGGGCACTGCCTCCCCCCCCCCAATGCACCCACCTGGATGAGCTTTTCACAGGCCACTCGGACAGCAGGTTCCGGTTCCCAGCTGTGTAGCTCTCGAAGGACCAGGTAGGCTCCCTGGTGTCGCACCTGCTGCCGACCTGGTGCTGTGGCTGTCAACTAAGATGGGGTAAAGGTTACCCAACGGTCAGTGTGTGTGTGGTGGGGTGGCATTAGGGTAACAGGACCCCAGCTCACCAGCATGATGGCCTCAATGAGCATCTTTCGGATGTCAGCATCAGGTTCTCGCTGCTTGTCCGGAGGTAGGTACTGCAGGTCGACAGGCAGCCCTGGGGGCAGGTGTGGGCCCCACTGGGTCTCTGGGCACAGCCCACCACTCCTCTGTAGGGCCCACCCTGAGGTCCCACCCAAACCACTCACGTTCCATCTCCTCCTCGGGAAAATCCCCAGGCCCCGCCAGGGGCAGCAGCAAGAACGGGAGAATGTCCACCTCAGGACCCAGCAACCACTCGTGGTGTCCTAGGGGAAAGCAGAGATGGGCAGCGTTGACAGAGACCTCGGGGTCCAGTCCCAACCCCTGGCAATGCCCCAGCACCACTTACTATGCTCCCGTGGCTCCCATCCCCCAACAACGCCCCTAAAACCACTCACGGTGCTCGAAGCAGCAGTTCCGAAGTGTCCCCACTACTCCGCCTCTTCGAACTGAGGAGTCTGCTGCCTGGATGAGGGGCAGGAGCCGCTGGATCACACACCTGGAGAGAGGGGCTGTTCAGAGGCGGCGGGCTCCCTGCCAACCACCCCTCCCCACCCTTCGGCCGCCTTGGGCTCCACCTGTCGGAGTCCAGCAGGAAGGAGCGCGCCGCTGGCCGCTGGCTGAGGTTAGAGAGCAGCGGTGCCAGGTAGTGCAGGGGAGCACGGGCGTTGTAGCCGGGCGTGCACAGCGCGCGCACCAAGCGCTCTAGCGCTGGCTCCCCCGGCTCTGCGGCCTCCAGCACCCCCATGACAGCGGCGCAGGGCGCCGGTTCCCGGCTGAGGTTGGCCAGCGCAGCGGCTGCCTCGTCCGCCCAAGGCCACTGTGGATCCAAGGCTCGGCCCAGCAAGCGGGCAAGCAATCCGGGGTCGGCCGCCAGCAGCGGTTCGTGCAGGCCCGGGTCGGCTGCCAGATTCACCAGCGCGCGGGCGGCGTCACAGGCCGGGGCCGGGGCCCGGGATGCCGCCAATTCGGCCAGCGCCCGCAGCAGAGCCGCCTGCCTCCCGAGCAGCGCGCGGCCCGGCCCGGAGCCGGTCAGCGCCAGCACGTGCCGTACCGCCGCCGCCTGCAGGTCCGCCCGCGCCCCCAGCGCCAGGAAGGGCAGCAGTTCCCCGGCCTCCGCCTCGGCGCCATCGTCCACTGTTCCCCGCATACTGGGGCCGCCCGCCGCCGCCTCCATGCAGCTGGCCCGGGATGAGCCGAGGCACGAACCGCTGGTCAGCGTCCAACGTCAACACGTGGGCCGCGGCTCCGCCCACCAAGGTCGCAACGACCAATCCCAGGCTGTTGCACGCATTGCGCACAGGGCGGGGGCGGGGCCCGGGGCATTGTGGGACTAGGCTTCCAACCGGAAGTCGGGCACAAGCACAGCAAAGGTAATCCGTGCTGCCAGCGGTCAGTTTCTGCCAGTTGGTACTATGTTCTCCTCATCACCCTGGCGTCGCTCCAGTGTTCTGCAAAGCCCACCCCGTGGGCCTGCGTGGACTGGCCAGAGCACGTCACCCCGTGTCAGGAAACTCGGTGTCCGGGGTGTGTTTCATCCACTTGGCGGACCTTGGTCAGTGGTCTGCACCCCAGGTCCCCACCCCGGCCTGGCACTCAGAGATGGAAGGCACCTCCAGTTAGTAAGTGCCTTGAGTGAGGGTGTGGCCCACGGGGCCACCTGGAAAAAAGGCGCTTGACTACTGGAATGCAGGACCACAGGGAGCTGGGCAGAACAGAGCCCCGAGGAGACAGCTGTTGAGTAGGCTTCTGAGCATCCGTGGAGGGGATGTCTGGGGTGTTGGTCTGGACTTCTGATTTGCACAAGAAGGAAAACCATTAATGTATTCATATGACCAGGAAGTGCCAAGGGGCTCTGACACTGAGCTTTCTATCCTGCAGCTCTTTCTCCTCCCCTCACCCCAATTCTCTGTGGTCTCGTGTCACTTTCTTCTGCTGGTGGAAACCTTCCGCTGCTGGTAGAAACCACAGCACACCTGGGCGAAGAGTGTAAAGGTGAAGCTGAGGCACCGGGAGACAGACAAAGTATAGGGCAAAGGAGAGCGGAAACAGAAATCGCTTTATTAGGAGAAGCTCCTGGACGAGGTTCTGTGACCTAGGCCAACAGGTCATGGGAGTCGCACCCAGCAGTGGGGAGCATAGATTTTAAAGGGATGGTAAGGAAGGTCCAACATTTATGGTTAGGGTTTGGCTGCTCTGAGGATTGTTTGTTGACTCCTTGTGGCTTTCTTTGAACATCTGGTTTTACTTCCCGATACCTGTTATCTTATCTGGTGCAGACAGGTCTGGCTTACTTTTGACCTTGTGCTTCCCTTCCCCCCCAGACAAAGAGTACTTTGTACCTCCCGCCCAGACAAAGAGTACCTCCCGGCAGCATGGTCCCAGCAGAAGGTTTCTACCCCCAACAAGATCCTCTCCAGGGAGGCACTCCACTCAATTCTTCCTGTCCCCCACTGGGCCATCCATTGTGGGTGGATCAACCCCCTCTAGAAGGACATGAATTTCATCCGAGTCCCCACTTTTTAAGATACCTGTGATGTCACTAGTCTTGTGCACAACTGGAAGAAGAGCATTGCAGACAGCAAGTGCAAAGTCCTTACATCTGGAAAGACCTTGACCTCTAGTGGTTTGTCTTAAGCAACCAACCTTATACTTGGCAGATGGCAGGTGCCCCAAAATGATTTGTCCAGGGAGTGATTGCCTCCCACTGTTCTCCAGAGGACATTCACTCCCCCCACCCCCTCAGTGCTGAACTTTGTTTCTTCCGCACCCGTTTTTAATATAATCAGATTTTTTATTCATGTCCCCCTGCTTAATATTGGGGTATATATTCTAGTTCTACCACTTGTCTGTCAGTTTGTCATACTCTGGTAGCTGTGTGTGGCTGTGATGCTAAAAGCTATTGGTATTTCAAATACCAATACCACTGGTATTTCAATACCACGCGCTTTGAAATACCAGCAGGGTTGCCTAAGGTGAACAGGTTTCAGCTGAGTTTCCAGGCTAAGAACAGACTACACAGCAGGAATAGATGGTCCACGTCTAAGGATTTAGCCACTGAGAACCTTATGAGTAACTGCAGAACATCAAAAGATAAAATGCCATAAGGTGAGCCCCTCACGTTAGAAGGCACTCAAAATATGACCGAGGGAGACAATGACGTGGACAGAGTACAGCTTTTGAGACTTTTGTCTGCTGATGAGACATGACCCAAAATAAGAAGAATCCCCTGTAAACATCTATTAATAATTGGAATTTGGAATGTACAAAATATGACTACAGGAAATTTGGAAATAAAAAATGAAATGGATGACATAAAGATCTATATCCTTGGCATTAGTGAACTGAAATAGACTGGCATTGGCTATTTTGAATCAGACAGTCATATGATTTATTACCCCCAGAATGATAAATTCAAGGGGATGGTCATTACCAAAAAAGTACATTTCGAGAGCTATATTGAAGCACAATGCTGTCTGTGCTGTGATTGGATAATATCTGTATCCACACAAAGGAATCTGGTCAATACAACTATTATTCAAATTTACTTACAACACACTAACGCTAGTGATGAAGCAATGAAAGGGTAGCAGCACTGTCTTCAGTCTGAAATTCATCAAAGATGCAGTCAAGATGCATTGAGAATTACCTGCAATTAGAAAGCAAAAGTTGGAAACGGGAAGGCACTGAGGTTGGGAGATGTGGCCTTGGTGCTAGCAATGAAGTTGGAGAGCACATGGCAGAGTTGTGCACGACTACTGACTCAGCGACTTCATCACCAATCCGTTCATTCAACAGCCCAATGATGTCTCCAAATGGAAGACACGGGAATCAATGGATGGCATCTGTGGGAAGAGCCGATGGAGGAGCTCAACATCACGAGCCAGCGTGAGGCCAGGGGCTGGCTGTGGAACAGACCACCAAGTTGCTCATATATAGACTTAGGTTAAAGTTGATGAAAATTAAAACAAGCTAACAAGAGCTAAAATATAACCTTGAGTATATCCTGTTAGAAACCAACACTGAAGGAAATATGATGAGGACTAGATTCCCTAACTTATTACAGAGGGAATCTGGAAAGCTGGTTTCCTCGGTAGGAAAGCCTCCACTTTGATAAGTTAGAGGTAAAGTCGCAAGTATATGATCCCACTTTAGCTATCATTCCCACAGATTCTCCCCTCAACAGCTAGGCTGCCTTAAAGTGAGCACATGGTTGATTCTATCTCCCTAAGAAGCAGACATTACCCTTTTGCTCTCTCTTCCAGTTGTGACATCCAAACCCCCTTGTACCTTCCCCCAGTGAAGGTTTTAGGTTTCCTCATCTTTGAGTCCAGGGACCTTAATGTAGATACCATCCACCTTATGACATGTGTAACTACTGAATATACATGTCTCATGGTTACCTGTAAATGTCCCAAGATAGTAAAGTTTTTTTCTCACTTTTCCCAGTTCCACATGGTCCATCAAGAAGAGGTGAGGTGAGCATGCTACCATAAAATGTGCCTGACTCCTTTATTTTATTCTCTCTCCTATCTTTCTTATCCTCTGATTTTACTACAATCTTTATATATTATCGCTGTACATTTGCATCTTCCGATCTTTGGTTGTTGGAGGCTCATTTCCTCTGACAATATCCTACCTGAATTTTCAGAATATTTCAGTAATAGATTTTGACTCACTGAACACAGACAGAAGACTTGGTGAGCCATGGGATGCCATCAAGAGCGTAATACATGAAGACAGTGAAAGATCATTAAAAAAAGAAGAAACAGGAAAGGAAGGTCCAAGTGGATGTCAGGAGAGACTCTGAAACTTGCTCTTGATCACAAAGGGCAGGTGAAAGAAACGAAGGCAAAGAGCCAAACAAAAATGTTCACAGGGCAGCTCAAGAAGACAAAGGTTTATAATGAAATATGCAAAAACCTGGAGTTGGAAAATTTAAAAAGAACACAGTATCTTTTGAGCCAAAAGAACTGAAGGAAAAGTTCAAGCCTCAGGTTGCAAGGTTAAACGCCTCTATGCAAAATAAATAAATAAAAGCCTCTATGTAAAATATTGACCAAAACAGGAAACAACAAAAAGCGATGGAAAGGAGTGCACAGTCACTACACCAAAAACTAGTTGACATTCAACCACTTCATGAAATGACCTTTGATCAAGATCTGATGGTACCGAAGGAAGAAATCTAAGCTGCACTGAGGGCATTAAAAAAAAAGAAGCCTCCAGGAATTGGCAGAATACCAAATGAAATGTTTTAACACACTGAGGAAGCACTGGAAGCACTCACTAGTCTATACCCAGAAATGTGGAAGACAGCTACCTGGCCACCGGACTGAAAGAAAGTCATATTTGTATCCATCCCAAAGGAAGCTGGCCCAACAAAATGCTAAAATTATAGAACAATATAATTAATTTCACATGCCAAGTAAAATTTTCCTGAAGATCATTCAACAAACGTTGCAGCAGTAGACTGACAAGGAGCTGCCATAAATTCAAGTCAGGTTTGGAAAAGGACTTGGAACAAGGGATATTGTTGCTGACGTCAGATGAATCTTGGCTCAAAGCAAACTATCATGAGGTTACTTATCTGGGAAACAAGGATCTACATATAACCTCCTCCCTGGGGAATGGACAACAGAAAAGTGGGTGAAGGGAGACGTCAGATGA